CTGAGGGCACCGTCCGTCTATACTGAGGGCTCTGTGCTGAGGGCACCGTCCGTCTATACTGAGGGATCTGTGCTGAGGGCACCGTCCGTCTATACTGAGGGCTCTGTGCTGAGGGCACCGTCCGTCTGTGCTGAGGGCACCGTCCGTCTATACTGAGGGTTCTGGGCTGAGGACACCGTCAGTCTATACTGAGGGCTTTTTGCTGAGGACACCGTCAGTCTATACTGAGGGCTCTGTGCTGAGGGCACCGTCCGTCTATACTGAGGGATCTGTGCTGAGGGCACCGTCCGTCTATACTTGAGGACACTGTGCTGAGGGCACCGTTCGTCTATTTCAGGGGTTGGCAACTGTGGCCCTCCAGCTTTTGGTGAACTACAAGTCCCATCATGCCTCTGCCTATAGGACTCATGCTTGTAATTGTCAGTTTTGCAATGTCTCATGGGACTTGTAGTTCTACAACAAGCTGGAGGGCCACAGTTGCTCACCCCTTGTCTATGCTGAGGGATCTGTGCTGAGGGCACCGTTCATCTATATCAGGGGTGGGCAACTGTGGCTGTCCAGCTTTTGGTGAACTACAAGTCCCATCATTCCTCTTCTTTTTTGACTCATGCTTGTAAATCTCAGTTTTGCAATGTCTCATGGGATTTGTAGTTTTACAACAGCTGGAGGGCCACAGTTGCTCACCCCTGGTGTCTATACTGAGGGCTGTGTGCTGAGGGCACCGTCCGTCTATACTGAGGGTTCTGGGCTGAGGGCACTGTCCGTCTATACTTCAAGGCTCTGGGCTGAGGGCACCGTCCGTCTATACTGAGGGCTCTGTGCTGAGGGCACCGTTTGTCTATACTGAGGGCTGTGTGCTGAGTGCACTGTCCGTCTATACTGAGGGATCTGTGCTGAGGGCGCCGTCCATCTATATTGAGGGCTCTGTTTTGAGGACACCGTCCGTCTATACTGAGGGCGCCGTCCATCTGTGCTGAGGGCGCCGTCCGTTTATACTGAGGTATCTGTGCTGAGGGCGCCGTCCGTCTATACTGAGCGATCTGTGCTGAGGGTGCCGTCTGTCTATACTGTGGGGTCTGTGCTGAGGGCACCGTTCATCTATATCAGGGGTAGGCAACTGTGGCTGTCCAGCTTTTAGTGAACTACAAGTCCCATCATTCCTCTTCCTTTTTGACTCATGCTTGTAAATCTCAGTTTTGCAATGTCTCATGGGACTTGTAGTTTTACAACAGCTGGAGGGCCACAGTTGCTCACCCCTGGTGTCTATACTGAGGGCTGTGTGCTGAGGGCACCGTCCGTCTATACTGAGGGTTCTGGGCTGAGGGCACCGTCCGTCTATACTTCAATGCTCTGGGCTGAGGGCGCCGTCTGTCTATACTGAGGGCTCTGTTCTGAGGGCACCGTCCGTCTATACTGAGGGATCTGTGCTGAGGGCGCCGTCCATCTATACTGAGGGCGCCGTCCGTCTATACTGGGGGGATCTGTGCTGAGGGTGCCGTCCGTCTATACTGAGCGATCTGTGCTGAGGGCGCCGTCCGTCTATACTAAGGACTCGGGTGGGAGGCATCTATCTTTACTGCTGGCTTTGTGCCGGGGGCAATGTCTGTCTTCACCAAGGGGTAAATGGGGGGGGGGGGTTGTTTGTCCTTATGGACTTTGTCCTTATGTATATTACGGTTATCTGTAATGTTGGAGATCAGGCTTGGGGGGGGGGGGGGGTGATTGACTTGTGCTGTGAGGAGGGGTGATTATGGTCATACTCTGTAAGGTGGTCTGTGTGTTGCTCACTCCTGACCCCTGAGCTACAGGCGGGAGTTCATCAGAAGTGAACCAGACAGAACCTGGAGCAGCTGTGCTTGGCAAACAAGTCAGCTTGAAATTTTCATTTTCAAAGCTTTTAGTTTAACCATTAGCCGCCCGGCCAATGGCCGTTTGGCGGCTTCAAAAGAGTTGCTGCATTCCTGGTGCACGCCATTTGGCGTGCTCCCGCACATGCGCAGTTTGCTCTAATGCAGAGCGGCGCAGCAGCGCGATCTGTCACCGGCCGTGCACCTTGGACACGGCTGATGACAGATCCGAGTACCGGCTCCCATTGCTGGTACCATGTGACCTGCTGTGACCAATCACAGCAGGTCACATGACAGTTGTATACAATGGATGGCTTCATTCATGCCATCCATTGTATACTAGTGCCTAACTGTGAATGGTCACAGCTAATCACATGCACATGTTATGTGATTAGCTGTGACCAAATCACAGCTAAGCACAAAAAAAAAAAAAAAAAAAGCTGAATGAATCGATTTCATTCAGGTAAATGCTTGCTTATAGCAAAGTAATTCTTTGCTATAAGCAAATTGTGTAAAAAAAATACTGATCACTTCCCCAAAGTAGTACAATGTTACTATGGTAACATTGTACTACTTTGGTCATAGTAAAATATGAAAAAAATATCTTAAAAAAAATAAAAAAAAATGTAATAAAAAATTAAAAATAATAAAAAAATTAAAAAATTTAAAAAAAAAATATATTTTTTTTTTCATACTGTCACCAGTCAGTGTCCCTGTTGACCGCCATGCCAGTTATATGATGACGCTGTACTGCACTGGTGACAGTATGTAAAAAAAAAAATAGTGAAAATAATTTTTTTAATTTTTTCATTTTCCGAAAAATTATGACAAAAAAAATACAACTTCAAAAAAACTCGCCATGCCTCTTATGAAGTACGTCGGACTGTCTACTCTGAAAAAAGGGGTCATTTGGGGATATCTGTACTATTCTGACATTCTTGGACCTCAAGAAATTAGATTGGCTGTCAGTACTTCAGGATTGATCAATATTCAGATCTATACCATAGTTTGTGAACTCTATAACTTTCCTACAAACTAAATAATACATCTTAATTTGGGTTATTTTCACCAAAGACATGTAGCAGAATACATCTCGGCCTAAATTTATGAAGAACAATTATTTATTTGTAAACTTTTATAACAGAAACAAAGAAAAATGTGGTTTTTTTTTTTCAAAATGTTTGGTCTTATTTTGTTAATTTAGCAAAAAATAAAAACCCCAGCGGTGATTAAATACCACCAAAAGAAAGCTCTAGTTGTGTGAAGAAAATGATAAAATTTTAGTTTGGGTACAATATTGTAAAACCGCGCAATTGTCATTCAAAGTGTGAGAGCGCTGAAACCTGAAAAATGGCCTGGGCAGGAAGGTGTAAAATTGCACGGTATTGAAATGGTTAAATCAGTGAATTTTCCCCTCTAGGGCAGCTTATCGGACCCCCTCCACCAGACAGGAAAGTACAGGATACAAAGTATTTTTATCTTCTGCAATCTAATGTCATTTTTGCCACCAAACCCCAATGCAGATGCTTTTGCCATGAAATGTTTGTGCAGCAAAACAAAGCTTCACGTTAAAAAGATGAATTTTATTTATTCTAATACTGAACTCTCGCTGATTGTGCTAATATTCTAGGAGCTGTAGACTGAAATGTATTTTTGGGGTTCCCTGAAATTTTAAAATTTCTTGTTGGTTAAATGGTTGAGACAAGCTGCCCTACAGTTTTCAGGCCCCATGCAGGACAGTTTGTCTGATTGCTCCCCTTTTACAGGGTGTTTTCCGACCCTCTCCAGGGTGTTTGTACTGTTTGAGGTGAAGTCTACAGGCTTTGTAAATGGATAGAAAACTGGCTTAAAGCCCAAATTCAGAGAGTATTGGTTAATGATTCACACTCTGAATCGTCCATAATAATGGGAATAGGATTTCTCTATGGGAGGGTTTGCAGGACAGCAAGTGAAAATAAATCCATTTATTATTTGTTACAACTTTAACTATTATTTATCTCAAGTAAAATCTTTGGTGCCAGAGAGGACATTTACCTTCATTCACTGATAGTGCCGACAAGACGCAGAGAACTGCAGGGCACATAAAAGTATTCTTAGCTACTGAAATCTAATTGTCATTTTTGCTACTAAACCCCAATGCAGATGTGTTTTGCCACTAAATGAAATGTTTGTTCTACAGAACAAAGCTTCTACTGTATTTTCCGGCGTATAAGACGACTGGGCGTATAAGACGACCCCCTATTTTTCCTGTTTAAAATGTAGTGTTTGGGCTATACTCGCCGTATAAGACTACCCCTCTTCCAGTGCACACCAGTGGGAAGAATCGTGCACCATCATTGGTGTCAGTGGGAGGAATAGTGCCCCATCATTGGTATTAGTGGGAGGAATAGTGCCCCATCATTGGTGTCAGTGGGAGGAATAGTGCCCCATCATTGGTGTCAGTGGCAGGAATAGTGCCCCATCATTAGTATCAGTGGCAGGAATAGTGCCCCATCATTGGTGTCAGTGGGAGGAATAGCACACCCCATCATTAGTATCAGTGGCAGGAATAGTGCCCCATCATTGGTGTCAGTGGAAGGAATAGTGTCCCATCCTTGGTATCAGGGGAGGAATAGTGTCCCATCATTGGTGTCAGTGGGAGGAATAGTGCCCCATCATTGGTATCAGTGGCAGGAATAGTGCCCCATCATTAGTATCATTGGGGGGAATAGCACCCCATCATTGGTGTCAGTGGAATAGTGCCCCATCATTGGTATCAGATGCAGGAATAGTGCCCCATCATTGGTATCAGTGGGATGAATAGTGCCCCATCTTTGGTGTCAGTGGGAGGAATAGTATCCCATCATTGGTGTCAGTGGGGGGGGGGGGGAGGAATAGTGCCCCATCGTTGGTGTCAGTGGGGGGGAGGAATAGTATCCCATCATTGGTGTCAGTGGGGGGTGGAATAGTGCCCCATCGTTGGTGTCAGTGGGGGGTGGAATAGTGCCCCATCATTGGTGTCAGTGGGGGGGGAGGAATAGTGCCCAATCGTTGGTGTCAGTGGGGGGGGGAGGAATAGTGCCCCATCGTTGGTGTCAGTGGGGGGGGGAAAAGTGCCCCATCGTTGGTGTCAGTGGGAGGAATAATGCCCCATCATTGGTATCAGTGACACCAATGATGGGGCACTATTCCTCCCACTGATACTTGCTGACCCCTGTTCCAGTATGGTGCTGCTGCAGCCAGCATATGTGGTTGCAGCAGCACCTAAGCAAGGCACACTTACCTGCATCTTCGCGGGGCCGCTCAGCTCCGCCTCCTCGCCGGTGATTGGCCGCCTGTGTGCCTTTCCTGAGCTACAGTTCTGGCGGCCAATCACCGATGAGGAGGCGGAGCCGAGCAGCCGCGCGAACATCCAGTGGACGAACCGAAGGAAGGAGCAGCCGCGCTTCCTGGACCGGATCGTCGTGGGACCGGAGCCAGGTAAGAGACAGCAGCCCCTGCCCACCCCTGTACTTAGTGTCCCTTCTGTTGGAAGGGGGGGGGGGCGGCGGCGGCACCGCGCCGCCCCCTTAAAAAGTGTCAGCATGCCGTTACCGGCGTATAAGACGACCCCCGACTTTTGAGAAGATTTTCAAGGGGTAAAAAGTCGTCTTATACGCCGGAAAATACGGTAGTTAAAAATGTGAATTTTCTATATTAAAATACCGAACACTCCCTGATTTGTGCTAATCTACTGTGAGCTGCAGACTGAAAATTATTTAAGGGGTTCCCTGAAATTTAGGGAAGAAAAATTGGCTTCATGGTTCAAAGGTTGAGAAATTTCTCTACAGGGCATTTTGTCCGGCACCACCCTACAGGACATTTGTTAGACCCCCTGCACTGGGCGTTTGTCCGACCCCCTGCACTGGGCGTTTGTCCGACCCCCTACACTGGGCCCCCCCCTGCACTGGGCGTTTGTCCGACCCCCTGCACTGGGCGTTTGTCCGACCCCCTGCACTGGGCGTTTGTCCGACCCCCTGCACTGGGCGTTTATCCGACCCCCTGCACTGGGCGTTTGTCCGACCCCCTGCACTGGGCGTTTGTCCGACCCCCTGCACTGGGCGTTTGTCCGACCCCCTGCACTGGGCGTTTGTCCGACCCCCTGCACTGGGCGTTTGTCCGACCCCCTGCACTGGACTGCTGTCGGACCCCCTTCACAGGGCAGTTTGTCGGATTCCCTTCACAGGGCTTTTTAATCAGAATTCCAGGACCACAAATGAAGAAAATATAATCCATTATTTGTTACAACTTTAAATATTGTTTTTTATTACAAGTAAAATCTGTGGCACCGGAGAGGACATTCGCCTTCATTCATTGGTAGTGCCGACAAACCACAGGGAAGTACAGATTCATAGAAGGATTTTTAGCCACTGAAATCCAATTATCATTTTTGCCACTAAACCCCAGTACAGATGGATTTTGCTAATAAATTAAATGTTTGTTCTACAAAACAAAGCTTCTTGTTTAAAAAGGTGAATTTGTTTGTAATACCGAACACTCACTGATTGTGCTAATCTACTGTGAGCTGTAGACTGGAAATTATTTTAGGGGTTTAAAAAAGAAAAGAAAAAAAAATGTTCTTGATTGTTAAAATGTTGACAAAAGCTACCCTACAGAGCAGTTTTCTGGCCCCCTTCAAGGCAGTTTGTTAGACCCCCTCCCCAGGGCTGCTTGTCAGACCCCCTCCTACAGCAGGGCTTCTCAAAAAGGGTTCCACAGAATTCTGGTGTTGCGGCAGGGAGAAGATGAGTTGTGTCTGACTTAACATCCCAACTATCACCTTTCCACCCAATGTTAAGCCTGGAGGAATTGCAGGATTAAGAGCAAGACCAATGAATCCCTCAATAAAAGTGCAAAGCTGATTTTTATTTGTTTTTTTCAGCTTTGGGGTGGCTGTTGTGCAGGATGGTGAAGTGGGTAATGAGGTGGTCTGTGCTCATTATGCTGTCTGTAGTCTGAATATTCCAGGATTCCTGGATTGTGAAACTTCCACAGGGCAGCTTTCACTACCCATCCTCCATAGAGCAGCCTTTGGACCCTCATCCCCCACAGGGCAGCTTTTTGGACCCCCTACAGATATTACATTAATGCTACCAAAGTAAGTGTGCAGTGTAAATTGCCTTTAGCATCACTCCTGTTTCTCCTTGCTGGAGGTGGCCATTTTGCTGAATCCCAGAGCTCTATGAGCAGCAGTAAATATTTAGGCTGTCAGCACATCGGCCTTTACATGAGCATGTGTAGTGCAGGGTCACAACACAGAGGGTCATCCTTCCCAATGGAGATATGGTGAGCAATCAAAGTACATCCACACTTCATCCAAAGAAAAATGTTAACATGGTAATTAACATGTTGTTAATGAATGCAGGCTATTTCCAGTAACTTTTCAACAAATAGCACTATCCTTTCACAGAATAAAATCCCCACCAAGTTACCAACACAATCCTTCCCCTGAAGTACAAATAACATCAAAATATAGTAAACTTGATTACCCTCTAATCTAATATAAGTGTATAAACATATAAGTGTATAAACATAAAATTCAAACCCCAAAAGAATATAAACAAAAAGCAAAGAAAACCACCCAAAAAATGAAATATAAAATAAAAGCAAAAAAAAAAAAAAAAAAAGTCCAAAATAAAGTCCTAAATAGTTATATCAAAATCTTTATCTGTGATATCTTAATTCTTCATATCTTCCAAAATCTTTGTGATATACTTCCAACCAGATCTTCATATACCTCAAAGAAAAGAACTCAACATGTGTGATATCTTCAAAGAAAAGGGGTATCTAGACAACCGTGCCACACGTGTTTCATGCACATAAAAAATAAACGTGCCACCACAACCGTGAAAAAGGAAAAATCCCTCAGCCTTAGGAGTCAATCCACTGCATACCACTAAAGGAAGGTCATAGTTACCCTCAGAATGGTATCAAGGGTCTGAGTATTTCTTTCCAACCTTTAAAATATTCCTTCAGCCTTTCCAGCCACTTCCCACAGACCTCATAAACAGACCATGGATCAGTATGTATCATAAAAACTTATAGCACTTTATTGTAGCAACTTACATTCAAATATAATGACATCAGCTTCAACATCACAAGCGATATGTTCACAGTCCTGCCTCTCCTCATAAGTGTATAGATTCCACACTATCTCACTCCCGAGGGGGAACCGATTGCCTGTGGTGAGTCTCCAATACCTCAAAGCCCCATGAGGATTCCAGGAAGCCACAGCCGCATGTACCAGGATCAAAAATGGCCGTCACCGCACTTCCGGAAGAGCGTAGCTACGTTACCACATCACGTGCCCCGGACGCGTTTCGTCACATCCGGACTTTATCAACAGGGATACGGATGTGTCTCCTCATTCCCCTTAAGTACCAACCAGGGCGGGAAATAATTGCCGCGGCCATCTGTGTTATGAGGAACTGTTCAAGGCTGGAGGATTACATTATACAATCAGAGTTGATAAAAAATCGGTTTGTGTCTAAAGGATATGATCCCAAACAATTGGAAAAAATTAGATATAAAGTGAGTCAGAATTATATAGGAGATAGGAAGAAAAAGAATACTATAAGTAAGAGATACCGTGATGGTAAAGAAAATAAAGTAGTGGGTTGTGCCTTCATCTCAAAATTTAGCTGTCAGTATAAAGGAGTAGAAAATATTATTAGGAAGCACTGGCCTTTATTACATAAAGATCCCATGTTGGGAAAGATTTTACCTGACAAACCTCGTTTTATCTATAGAAAAAGTGAGAACCTGCGAAATTTATTGGTAAAAGGGGTGATCTCTCCCCCTAGGAAGCCGAAGATGTTCGGACTCCAAGGCTTCTTTCCTTGTAGAAAGTGTAAAATTTGTAAAATCACGGGTATAAAAGAGAGGAAAATCACAACATTTACATCTTGTGTGACGGGAGAATCTTTTGCAATTAATAAATTTATCACTTGCAATATGAAATATGTGACTTATCTATTAGAATGTCCCTGCCAAATCCAATATGTTGGTAGAACTAAAAGAGATCTGAAAATTAGATTGAAGGAACATGTTGAAAATGTAAAAAAAGGAAAGAAAGAAAGAACACAGTGTATCCAAACATTTTTATGAATTTCATGGTTCGGATCCGAGCCACTTAAAATTCTGTGGTATTGATGTCCTGGAACCCCACTGGAGGGGGTGCAATAGGGTACAGGAGATATCAAAAAATGAAACCTTTTGGATTTATAGGCTGAATACGTTAAAACCCAAGGGTCTTAATATTGAATTAGACCTAAATTGTTTTATTTCTGACCAGTAATTGAATGCTCGACATAACCGGAATATTTTTTTTTTTTTTTTTTTTTTTTTTTTTTTTCATTTTATTAGTTTATTGATTTAGATTAGTTATTAGTTTTTAGAATATTTAGTATTTATATTTTTTTAATTAAGATGAGTTTTAGGGGGTGGATTGTTTCTTTGTTTTTTTTTATAAAAGGATATATTTGTTGACATTCATATTGGGGGGGGAGGGAATATATTTTAATTTATATTTTAATTTATATAATAAATTGTCTATTTAGATATTTTATAATAATTGTCTGTATAGGGGTCTATTATCGGACCCTGACTGTTGTTATGAGTTCTTTGAAGTATTATGATGTTTTGGTGGAAAGTGCGGTTGAATTATTGGGGGGTGTGCTGGTAACAGTTTTGCCGTTTTGGATAATGGCTTCTCTGTGTTCCGTCTCACTGGCCCTGATATGCCTTTTATAAGTAAGTGAGGATATCCAGTGTTCCAGGATGTAAGATGGCCGCGGCAATTATTTCCCGCCCTGGTTGTTACTTAAGGGGAATGAGGAGACACATCCGTATCCCTGTTGATAAAGTCCGGATGTGACGAAACGCGTCCGGGGCACGTGATGTGGTAACGTAGCTACGCTCTTCCGGAAGTGCGGTGACGGCCATTTTTGATCCTGGTACATGCGGCTGTGGCTTCCTGGAATCCTCATGGGGCTTTGAGGTATTGGAGACTCACCACAGGCAATCGGTTCCCCCTCGGGAGTGAGATAGTGTGGAATCTATACACTTATGAGGAGAGGCAGGACTGTGAACATATCGCTTGTGATGTTGAAGCTGATGTCATTATATTTGAATGTAAGTTGCTACAATAAAGTGCTATAAGTTTTTATGATACAT